TATTATTGTTTTAAACCAAAGTCAGTCAGGAACCTCGGTGTCTGTTTGACCCTCAACTGTCTTTTCTTCCCCACATCCAAGCCATGACCCGCTCGGCCTTCCCTCACCTCCGTAACATCTCCCGACTCCGCCACTACCTCACCCCTCAGGCGCTGAAACTCTTGTTCATGCCTTCATCACCTCTAGGCTCGAGTATGCAAACTCGCTGCGTGTCGGCCTTCCCAACCCCTCCCTCCACAGCTGTAGATAATCCAGAACTCTGCAGCCCGTGTCCTCTCCCGCACCAAACTCCCCCAGTGACCCCATCTCCCCCACTCTCGCCCGACTCCATTGGCTCTCTATCCTTCAGAGGATCCAATTCAAGATCCTGGTCCTCACATACAAAGCTCTCCATAGCTTCAACCCACCCTACCTCTGCGACCTCCTAACCCCCTACCAACCCGCCTGCTCCCTCCGCTCAGCCGGCTCTGGCTGCTCCACGTCCCCCGACCCACACGCCCCACCATTGGCGGGAGAGCCTTCAGCCACTCTGCCCCAACCTCTGGAACTCCATCCCCCAATCTCTCCGCCTCGCCCCCTCCTTAGCCTCCTTCAAGTCCCTCCTCAAGACCCACCTCTTCGACCGTGCCATCGGCCACCTCCCTTCCCCTCCCCTCCCTTAACCCCCCCCAACCCCAGCTCGGGTCTGAAATGCTGTACACTGTCAGCGCCTTGGGATGTCCTCCCGACGTGAAAGGCGCTATACACATGGAATCTTGTTGTTGTTGTTGTAGTAAACTTAGGGATATTAAGTAATGACTCTCTAGCAGTGAGATACAAGCTGGAATCTATACAGAATAATGCCCCCTCTCTCGCCCCCTCCCCGTCTGGAATCTGGATGCACTGTCTATGGGGAGCTGGGGGCGTGGGGGGTGGCATTGAGGTTGCAATAGGGAGTGAAAGAGTCCGTCCAGTTTCACTTTAGCGCCTCAATAAAGATGCAGAACTTTAATATTGATCACAATCAGACGAGACAGACACCAAACTCGTTTCCACGTCGCCTGGTGAAGCCGCAAAGCAAAGCTTCCTGCAGGAGCTGGGTCTGGGTACGTGTTGGAGTTATTGATATTCAGAGTCTTGTTAGTATTACAAGCTCATTAATGACAGCTTTGCTCTGTGTCTCGTTCAAGCCTCCCTCACAATGTGCATCAGATCAATTGCCACCTCAGATGGCTTATTTGCCGCTGTTCTTGCGAACAAATCTAAATGAAATCCTGCCTGGTTTGTACAACGCCCAAAATAATATCATAATACAGTATCCAATATCCTTTAATACTGTGGAGGATTTCTGAAAGCGCTTCACAGGATTCACTGTAAAATACCAGACTGAGACCCTGAGACTGAGACACTGTATGTTTTTTTTATGGGGGTCAGCCAGGTGGGTGTCTGACACACGTGGAAACCCATCACCGTTGCTTAAAAGTCTGAGAATTCCAGGTCTCCCACCTACACAAGGAAATCCCAGATAGATTATTGGAATGGAATGCGCTCTCTCTCTCTCTCTCTCCCTGGAGGGACGTATCTTGTTTACCTAATTCCGGAACGTATCAGGCGCAGGTTGGCGAGAGCCAAGGCTTGGGGGGGAGCCCAGAGTGTGTGTTGGGGTAACTGCTGGGGTCTAACCGGCTAAACCCACACAGCTTGGCCATTGAGAGCGCTGTCTAGCCGAGCTTTCCCGCTGCTTGTCCAGCTCGGACCACCCCACCCTTTAAGGCTTTGGCTCGCAGGGTTATCGGGAGCTGAGGGGGGAATGACGCATAGACTCCCAGACTGTGTGATATTGAGACACTGTGTGAGACTGAGACACAGTGTCAGGTGGTGTCAGTATTAATAGTCACATCAGATTATTGGTGTTCTTCAGTAACTGTGACAGAAGCTGTTTAACACAATGTGAAAGAATTCCTGGCAGTGGCTCAAACCAATGAGACAATCCGGTTCCAGAGAAAGTGATAATTCAAACCCACTCTGACTGGTTTGATGTCTGGCCCAGGATTATTATACTCATATAGCAAAGGAACAAGCCTTGCCAGTCTGCCATGAGAATTCATTACATTTATATCCTCGCTCTTTTATTGAGGGATCGCATTTCTTCCCACTGTCTGTCTGGCTGTTTAACTCTTACACTCACTCACTCCCGACAATCTCACCCAACACCCCCCCATTCCCCCAGACACACACGCCCTCCCATGGCATCTCTCTGTCTCTCTCCCTCCCTGTCTTTCCCTCTCTGTCTCTGTCTCTCTCGACTGCCCTCCTGGCAGTTGCTTGACATGTCGTGTCCCAAACTATATACTGTACCCCCAGATATTATTTTCTCTCTCTCTCACAGTCTCTCTCTGCCTCTCCCCTCACTCATTCAGTCTCTCCGTCTGTCTCTCTATCAGTCTCTCCTTGTCTGTGTCTGCCTCTCTCATTCCCTCTATCTCTCACAGTCTTTCTCTCTTCACCCCATGGAAGTGGGTGTTACGTGGGAGGGGGGGAGAGAGGGGGGGCTGTTGGGGGGAATAGCTCTGAACTAAAGCAGCTGAACAAATGTCCCGTTTAAATATTTAATGTTCTATTTCAAAAAAAAGTCAAGATGTTTTATTGTGTGAATGTGGAATCTTACATTACGTGATATTAAAGCTGTTTTATTACCGGTGCGATTGAGGTGATGTATTATTTCCTGTGAAACCTGCTTCTGATTTCACTAAATTAAGGGAATACATCAAACGCAAGATTCACGACCAAAGGGCTTTGAGAGGCAGATCAGGTCGGAGACGATGTTAGAAGAACATATTTCCTTAGAGACCAACCCATCGAAACATCTCAAACAGCTTTACAGTAACTACAACAGCAACATATTAATAATAATAATGATAATAATAACCCTGGCATTTGATACAGCGCCTTATTATGTCGTTGAGACGTCTCAAAGCGCTTCGCAGAATGTACTGTAAAGAGTAGTGACTGTGTGTTTTTATAGGCGAATGGGAGCAGAAAGTTTAACCCAATGTCGTGACTGATATATTCCTCCTTTGGGCCCCAGATTCTTCTTTTTATAAAGAAAACGACTTACGTAACAGTGTGAGGAGGAATAGCTGTCACTTTCGCTACATGACAAGATGTGGCACTTGACAGTAATTACTTGTGAAGCACGTTTGAAGTCGTAAAGTTCCATAAAATGAATTGAGTTGGTTTTAATGAGAGAGATAACAAACCCATCTAAATAATGGAGATGTTTCTTTCTCTAATGAAACAGTTCTGCAAGATCATCAAATGAATGGTTCTGGGGGTTTATTATAGCAAAATGCAATTGGAAAACCCATTGAAATGATGAGCCTCGCTGTCTTGAACAGCCAAACAGGTTGTAAATTCCAGGAAATAAATAGATTAATGTCTTTACACTCAGATACATACAAAGGCACATGAAGCCCGACACTGAGCCAGACTGACAGACAGACAGACAGACATGCACACACACACAGGCAAGCACAGAGCTGGGCAGACATACAGAGACACACACGCGCGCGCACACAGACATATAGCCAGTCACAGAGAGCCCGATAAGAGACACAGACACATGCGTTCACACGCAGACACATGCACAGAGTCAGGCAGATAGAGAGAGAGAGAGAGACACACACACACACACACACACACACGTGCTTCGTCAGCAAACACGGCTGCCAATTTGCACTCAGCAAAGTCCCCCAAACAGCCATGAAGAGGGCGTCGTGGGATCTTTTAACGTCCGCCCGAAACGCAGCACAGACGGGAGTCGGATTTAACGTCTGATCCAAAGCACGGCGTCTCTGACAATGCCGTGCTCCCCCCCCCCACCCCCCACCCCCGCCCCCGCCCTGGAACACCAGCTCGAAATCCCTCCCAGACTCCTGACATGACACGGTGGGGGATGTGGGGGATGGGGTGAGAGTTTTTCAAACTTTGCCAGGATTTAGTGGTTTAATCTGAGGACTGTCTGGCCCGCGGGGCAGAGAGTGTTATAATTTTATTCTGCAAAGTAATCATTCTGACATTTCCTAATTCCTTTAAAATAATTTCGCACTGAACCAAGACAAGGCGCATAGTTGTTCAACTTCCATTTACAAAGGGCCTGGAGGAACCCATTTTTTTTTTTTGTTGTTTTTTTAAGCTACGCGAGACATTCAACCCACTCGCAAACCTCACAGCCGGCAACAATTTATTTTATTTTTTCGGCCGCGATAAATTGCGTGCGTGCCTCTGCTCTGTGTCCGGCTCGTTTAATTATTCAAAACGCACAGTACTCTAATTACTTGAGGGGGAATTTAGCGAGGCTGGATCATCGAAATTACCGCGAGCTAAGGCAGACTCTCATTACTCCCCTCACTCACTCACTCACTCACTCCCTCACTCACTCACTCACTCATCCCCCTCTGATATTCCTCTCTCACTACGATCGATCAGGAACAACACGTGACACTTGCATGTCCCAACGCGCGGGACGGTCAAGGATTTGGACCCGAGCTGGGGGTTGGGATCAGGTGGGGGGTGGAGGGCAGGGGGTAGGAGGGTGGGCCCAAGGCGCGGTCGAAGAGGAAGGTCTTGAGACGGGCCTTGAAGGAGACGAGGGAGGGAGGGAGGGTCTGTGGGATAGAGTTCCAGAGGGTGGGGGCAGAGTGCTGAAGGCCTGACCGCTGATGGTGAGGCCCATTAAAGAGAAGTTTGATCGGGGGAACAGAGGGGGCACAGGGGCATGTGCAGCACAAACACCAGCACAGACTAGATGTGTGAATGGCCAGTTTCCATGCCGTCTCACTCTATGTAAACTTGTTCCCTGTCCTTTCCCTTCGTGCTTGAGGAGCTGTGAGAGCTCCCGAGGGGGGGGGTGGGGGGAGAACGTCAGTGTCGAGAGAACTGAACACCTGAGGCCACCCAGAAGGGCTGACGTCAGAGTACCAACACAGCCACCAGAGAAATAAAAGAGAATCTGCTCAGTCTTTCAACCAGAATTTCTTTTCCGTTTATTCGTCAGCTCAATAAATGTGATTGCATTACGTTATTGCATTGTATGTTAGACTCGGCTTTTACTCAAAGCGTAACACAATAAAGCGTAGATTTCACTGCAGCGCAAAAACCTCAAAGCGATGTGAATGGCACCCGAACCTCGCGTGTTTGTTTGTTTCATCATCACTCGCAGAGCGAAGCTGGCGGGATATTTATAATACCTTTTGCCTCTGACACAGCGCCTTATCACGTCTTCGAGACGTCTCAAAGTGCTCCACAGGACACACTGTAATGTATAAGTGACTATGCATTTTGTGGGCGAAATGCAGAAGCCAATAGCGCACAGCAGTGTCCCACAAACAGTCGTGGAAATTCCACCTTGTCTTAGCCTGCGAGACCGTTTCGATTCAAATTTAATACTAATAGTAATAATAATCCTTGCAGGTGATACGGCGCCTTATCACGTCGTCGCGACGGCTCAAAGCGCTTTCGCAGGAAACGCTGATAAAAAAANTGTACAAATACAACGATTGTGTGTTTTTGAGGGTGAAATTTGGAGAAGACCCAGAAATGGGGAAAACGGGCCGGTCAGACAGACAGACAGACAGACAGACAGACAGACAGACACCCGTCGCTGGAGGGATCCGAAGGGCTGAAGGGTTTTCTTCATCCGAACGGCTCTCGTGATCTATTGTCCTTAAGGATGAGATGGGAACGTCGGGTTACACTGCCCTCTGGTGGTCATACGGTAGTGACACACTCGTACCTCTCCATCCATTAGAGTAATCCTTGCGTTTGACCACCAGAGCCTTAACACGTCGTCGAGACGTCTGAAAGCGCTTCGCAGGATATACTGTCAAGTGAATTGACTGTGTATTTTGTGAGTGAAAGGAGGCGGCCGATTGCCCACAGCGGTGACCCACAAACAGTCGCGGATTGAGTGACCTAATTAGTTGTAAGAAAGTTTTCGATTCAATCTGAATCTGAACTGAAATTCAGACCCGCAGTTTCCCGAAAAGAAACCTGGCGTCCAGATAAAGACACGAGTTAAGGATTGTCTTCATCGCCTTAGATATTAAGCCTGAACGGTCTCTCAGGCTAAGACCAGGTGGAATTTTGGTTCTCAGAAGGTAAAATAAACAAGCGTGCGTCCTTCCATGGCCATGGTGTAAGATAAATGTGTGTCTGTCTGTCTGTGTGTTTCTGTGCATGTTTACATGTATGTGTGCAATTTAAAGGTCGTGCAGGAATGTGGAACATCCTTAAACTCAGTCATTTAAGGAATATAAAAAAAGACTGAAGATTTTTGGAATTTGATTTGCCCCCAATCTAAAGCCAGTCATAAGGAGATGGGCCTTGGGGTGTCGAGAGTGCAGACCTGAAGACCTGCCACAAAGACAAGCCTTAACAGGCCGCACGCCAGTGGACACTCACTCTGAGGACACGTCTCTGACCCAAACCTTGATCAGAGAGTTTGTGTCGTACGTCATTGTGCCCGAGACCTGGACTTGGGCCAGGCTGACTCTGACCAACTCATTTTCATTGGACCTGAAGACGGCCTTTCTCTGGAGGGCTGGGGAAGGGTCGGGACCCTTCACCACCGAGTACATATCTTGCCTGTCTCTGAGGCCGAGGTCTTGTGTGACGAACAAGCCGAGGTTTGGGCATAGCTCCCCCATGGCCACCGGGGTCTCAAACATCACAGCAACGAGGCTCGAGCCCAGCTGGTAACTCAACACCCCAACGCACTGGATGGAGGCTGGGCTGGTGGAGTAGGAGCTGACGCCCACACCTCCCGGTGGGATGTCCTCTGGCTCCTTGGTGGTCTCACTGATGTCGAGGAAGATCCTGGGAAATAAACCAGGGGCTGGTGAGGATCGAGGCAAGGGCGAGGACAGAGATAATAGCAATAATAATCCTTGCATTTGATACAGCGCCTTATCACGCTGTTGAAACGTCTCAAAGCGCTTCACAGGATACACTGTAATGTGAATTGAATGTATATTTTGTGGGCGAAATGCGGCAGCCAATTGCGCACAGCAGCGTCCCCACAAACAGTGGTGGATTAAGTAATTAAAGGGATTATTACCCCCAGAAAAGCAATCTGCCAATCGACTAACAACTGGGTTCCTACTTAACTGCTTGGTAAACAGAGGCGTGTGTAGTAAGAAAATTTGCCCAAGGGATTTTGCCCTGACCCACATGGGAATCGAACCCGGGTCCTCTCACTTGCGAGGCGAGTGCGTTAATCACTACACTACCCGACTCCAAATTTGCACACTCTTAACCCGACCTCCAAGTTAGACAGACAGACAGACAGACAGACGCCAGTATCGCTGTGTAAAGAGACTCCGACTCACCTGGGGCTGGTCAGTGAGGCCACTTTGCTTTCATTGGTGATCGTAACTTCAACGGACGCAGATTTCATCGTAGCAAAATCTCAGGTCTGGGAGACTTTATTAGGGAATGTGGGGGTGGGGGGGGGGGAAATCAATTTGCTTTTAATAAACGTCACAGAGAAAGAGCGAAAGGTTATTACGAGGGGCCAAATAAAAGCCAGTTACATTAAACCGTCCGCTTGCTCATAGCGGAGCTTAAGGTGGGCAGAAACTGGATGCGATCTGGAAAGTTAAACACATTAAACCAACGGCTTGCTGGTTGGGTCTTTGGTAAAGCTCTGCTCCAGTGTCAGAACTTGGGAGTTGAGGTACGTACAGATCAGCCACGATCTTCTAGAATGGCGGAACAGGCTCGACGGGCTGAATGGCCTCCTCCTGTTTCCTATGGCACGAAAGGTCATCAGCCCTGAAACGTTAAGCCACTTTCCTCTCTCCATTGATGCGGCCTGACCTGCTGAGCGTTCCCAGCCACTTCTGGGTTGTATTTCAGATTTCCAGTGGTTTTTTTTGCCTTCTGTTCTATTATTGCTGTATTTGTGTCCGCGAGTGCGTGGGCAACCTCTCCGGCAGAGGGCGCCGTTTCCCTCCCTCTGTTCCCCAAGTTTGGATCTCTTGAGTTTCTATTGCATTCCAACGAAGCCCTCGGCAACCTCCAGGAACCTCTTAAACCCACCCCAGATAAGGCCTTAAGCTGAGCTCCTTTCTGTGCCCTGTCCAGGTGGACGTTAAAGATTCCCCGCAGCGATATTGCAAAAGCGAAGGGAGTTTTTCTCTCTCCCTCCCCCGGTGTCCTGGCCAACAATATAAGATAAGTTGGCCGTTGGCTTCATGGCTGTTTGAGGGACCTTGCGGAGCTGAATGGCTCCTGCGTCTGCCAACAAATACAAAGTCACTATACTCTTGACCGAAGTATTTTTTTTGTAAAAAAACAATTTTGAAGGGATTGTTACCCAGAGAAAAGCGATCCACCAATCAACTAACAACCAGGTTCCTGCTTACTGCTCAGTATCGGAGGCGTGTGTGTGGAGTAAAAGGAACTTGCCCTACGTTTGGACCTGCCCGGGAATCGTACCAAGTCCTCTCGCTTGGGAGCGCTCTAACCACTGAGCTACAGGATTCCACAATCTAAAAAGATCGCCTGAATAAGCAGCGTCTCATGATCTTTTTTTTACCCAAAGCGTTTTGCAAATAAATGTCTCGGGGAACCATATAAACCCATATAAACCCGCTCGAGTCTCAAAGGTCCAAATGCGCTAAAGTCAGTCAGTGGTAATACGGTGTTTGCTTTTGAAACCCCCAAAAAATCTTTTCTGCAATTTAAATGCACGTTTTCGGGGGTGGGGTGGGGGGGAATTTTTTTCAGATTCTTCTCCCCCCAACAGATTTGATCTGTTAATTAACCCCTTCACATAACCCATTAATTAACACATTGAATCTTCTAATTAATATTGTAATTTTCAGTTAGTAATTAGAGCCTGCGGTTCCAGTTGTGCCCAGAGCAGGACTGACAGTTTCAAGGTTTCCATTTACGAAGCTACCAACCGTCAGAGATTCATTGCCATTTCATGGAACAACAATAATAATAATAATCCTTGCATTTGGTACAGCGTCTTATCACGTCTTCAAGACGTCTCAAAGCGCTTGACAGAATATATTGTAAATACTGTATATTTTGTGGGCGAAACTCGGTAGCCAATTGCGCACAGCAGTGTCCCACAAACGGTCGTAGCGTGAGTGACCAAATTATTATTGTATTTTTTTTGAATGGATTATTAACCCCCAGAAAAGCAATCCTCCGATTGATTAACAACCGGGTTCTTACTTACTGCTAGGTAAAGAGAGGCGTGCGGAGTAAGGAAGTTTGCTCAACGTTTCTTCCTGCCCAGCCGGGAATTGAACCCGGGTCCTTTCAGTTGCAAGGCGAGTGCTCTTAACCACTGTGCTGCAGGACTACACTGGTCACAGTAAAACTAATTCCTGCTAGCTTTGAAGCGACCCCATCAAATGCAACTATTAACTTGCTTCTCGTTAGCATGTCTCTGTTAATCGCCCGCAGGACTCACTCCACTCCACCACTGCTCACAGACAAGTTATTTAAAAGCAAACCGCGCTTCCTTCCTCCTGCAATGGCTGTTAGTACGTTGATTGCTCAGTGTAGGACTAACCTGTCTCGGGTTCGATCACTGAACAGCTGCAGAATCGGAGATGTATAATTGCCTTCAGCAACGGCAGGCCAGCGAGGAGAGATTAATAATTAGCCAACGTTTCCTGATCACTCCTCTTGGTGACACCTATTGCGAAATGCACATTGCGTAAGGGCGATATCGAGCTCAGTACATTTCCACACCCACTTCCCTACCCTACCCCCACCCACTCCTCTCCCGGCATAAGTTGGTAAACATTGTCTCCAAGGAGCATTGCTACTAACAGCACAGCCCAGCCTGGATCAACAGCAGGACTTGGACGGGCAGACCAGTCACTGGAGACTCAACTCAGCACCTGTTAACTGTGGAAGCCAAAGCCCTAACGGGTTGGGTGCTCACAAGCAATGGTGAAGCTTGCCAGGCAGGGCTCTCAATGGCAAGCTGTGTGGTTTTTCGCTGATTAGACCTCAACCCACACTTTGGGCTCCCCCCAAGCCTTGGCTCTTGCCAACTTGCATCTAATACTTTCCAGAATTAGGTAAGCAGAGTGCGTCCCTCCAGGGAGAGAGAGAGAGAGAGAGAGCGCATTCCATTCCAACAATCTATCTCTGGATTTTTTTTTGTGTGTAGGTGGGATGCATGGAATGCTCAGTTTGGGTTGGAGACTCTTAAGCACCGTGATGGGTTTCCGCCTGCGTCAGACTCCCGGCTGAGCAAAAACTTGCCTAAGGTTTCGCCCTGACCGGGAATCGAACGCAGGTCCCTCTCGCTTACGAGGCGAGGGCTCTAACCACTAGGCAAGAGGACCCCACTCCGTTTACTGTAGAGCGTGGCAATGGTGCAGTTTGTGGTCTCGTAAACTCAACTGGAAACTCTTGCGTAAGTAATGCTAACATCAAGTTCATACCACAGCAAAACCGAAGAAACTGAAGATACATAAAACGCAAAATACTGTCGGACGCTGGAAATCTGAAACACAAACAGAAGCGGCCGGGAAAGCACTCAAGCAGCGGCGGGTCAGGCAGCATCTACGGAGAAAGGAAAGCGAGTCCAGGTTTCAGGTCCAACGACCCTTTGTCGGAACATCAACAACAACATTACACTTGTATCGCGCCTTTCACGTCGGGGGGGAGGGGGCGTCCCCGAGGAGGGTGGGGGGGCGGGACGTGTCCGGTTCTCCCACCTACACGCGCCCCAGGTTCTGACGCGGTGGGTCGCGGACCCGAAACGTCGACTCGCCTTCCTTTCTCCGCAGGGGCTGCCTGAGGCGTTCCCGGCCGCTCCTGCCTTTGGCGCGGAAGACGCGCGCAGACGAACCTTAAACTGCGTCGCGTTGTAAAATATAGTATTATCATAAAATATATGATTTTACCAGAAAAGTTACAGAGTTAGTACCTGGGGATACCCAACTGGTGTCCAGAACCTGCAGCTCACTGACCAGTGAGGGAAAGGAGAAGTGAAATGAGACTTACAAACCCCTCTAAACCACCACCACCACCAAAAAAAAAAAAAATTGAGCGAAAACCTTTTTCTCCCCCAAAATGAGTTGGGCTTTGAGTTAAGGAGTGGCTGATCAGCTGGGGCGGGGCGGGGCCTGGGCGGGGCGGGGCCTGGGCGGGGCGGGGCCTGGGCGGGGCGGGGCCTGGGCGGGGCGGGGCCTGGGCGGGGCGGGGCCTGGGCGGGGCGGGGTCTGGGCGGGGCGGGGCCTGGGCGGAGTCTCCCTGCACTTGTCGCCCAGGCAACCACGTCACTCAGTACGCGTCACCGGGCTTCAGCCACGCCCGCCCACTTTCAACCCGCGGCCACGTGGGGGCAGCCGGGCCGGTGACGCGCTCCCGCCCCACCCCCACCCAACCACCCTCTCCCTCGCTTCCGATTGGTCAGAGTTGCCGTCAGTCAAAGGCGGGTCGGGCGGAGTGGGGCGGGGTTCCCCGCCCGTCCGCCGCCGTGATTGGCCACGGGCGGGGGCGGCTGTCTGTCTGTCGACGCGACGCGCGCGCTCACGTCGCGGTGGCGGGGATGAGGAGGGAGAGAGCGTGATGACGCTCTGCCGGTGGCACGCGGCGCGCACGTCGCGGGCGGGAGGGCGACGGGTGCTTTGCAGTCGAGAGAAGGAGACGAGAGCGCGAGAGAGAGAGAGAGAGAGAGACACAGAGACTGAGAGAGAGGTGTCCGGTCAGAGTTACGGTATCACCGTATAGTATATAAAAAAAAACACCTCGAAATATCTCCAGAACAGATCGAGAAAAGCCCTCGAGGAGGGGAGTGGGGGTGAGGAGAGGGGGTACAGACGACGACCAGAAAGTGTGGGAACCGTCCCGTGTGTCGCTGTGTGTGTGTGTGTGAGGGGGGGAGTGGGGGGGTGTGAGGGGAGAGTTTTTTTTTAACCGCAGAGCGAGTTCCCTCCCCCCCCCAAAAAAAAAAAAAAAAAATCCTGAGGTAAAAAAAATATTATATTTTATTTCGCGATCGGTTTATTTTTTTTTCCGGTTCGGTTTCTTGAGGGTTTTTTTTTATTATAATAATTAACGTTTCTCTCCCTCTCTCTCTCGTCTCCTCTCCTCTCTCTCTCTTCCCCCCCCCCCTCTTCAAAAAAAAAAGATCGTTTCTTTATTTCTTTTCTTCTCCTCCGCACACCTTTTTTTTCCCCTTCTCCTTCTTCTTCCTTCTTCTTCTTCTTCTTCTTCTTCTCCTCCTCCTTCTCCTCTTCCTTTCTGTCTATTCCTCCTCCGGAGGGAAAGAATATACATTCTCTCGACGAAGAGTCCCGTCGAGTCTTCGTGTCTTGATTTGAGGTGATTTTTATTTAATTTTATTTAATTTTATTTTATTTTTTCCTCTCTCTCTCCTCTCTCTCTCTCTCTCCTCTCTCCTCTCTCTCTCTCTTCTGGGAGGAAAATCAAAAGAAAAAAAATCTCTGCTCGCGTTTAGATTTTTTTTTGGGGGGGGGAGGGGGGGAAAAATTATATATATATATGTATTATATTGTATTTAAATGTATAATATTCCACGTGTGTGTATATTATGGATTTCATTGTATGTTGTGGTTATGGATAGTATAACAATCTTTGCATTTGCTGTGGCGCCTTATCACGGCTTCCTTATTGCCTATATTTTATATTTAACTGTATATTTTACGTGTGTATATATATTTAAATGTGTATATTATATATGATATTTAAGTATCCTTTATGTATATATATTTAAATGTGTATATATCGCATAACATTTTATATTTAACTATACGTATAGGTATTATTTAAATGTGTATATGTTATATATATAATATTTTATACTTAACCATATATTTTATGTATATATATCATATTTAAATGTGTATATTGTATATTATATTTAAAGCAAAAGAAAATCAATTTATTTTTCTGGAGGTGGGGGGGAAGTAAGTGTCTTTTCTCACCTTTGTTTTTTTTTGCACAATGTCCACACAAACCCAACTCTTTGTTGGCATTAAGTTATTTTAAATTCTCATTTACTCCCTTTCCTCCTCATCACCTTTTTTTTCCCCTCATTTCTCCTCCACCTTTCTCCTTCTTGTCTTTTTCTTTTTAAACTATATTTTTTTTAAAAAAAAAGAAGAAACTTGCTGTAGTTGATGGGGAGTCTAACCAAACCTCGGTTTGTGTGCGCGTGTACGTGTTTTTAAAAAAGAGGATCTAAAATAACTCGTATAAATATACTTAAAACATATACAGGTTATTTTAAATATATTTTAAGCGACCGTTTGTGGGACACTGCTGTTCGCAATTGTCTGCCTCGTTTCCCCCCCTCCCCAAAAAAAATCCAGTCCACTTTACAGTATATTCTGTGAAGCGCTTTGAGACTTCTCAAAGACGAGGTAAGTCGCTATATATCAAATGCCAGGATTGTTGTTATTATTTTGAAGGAATGTGAGCTTCAAATCCAATTATTCTTCCTCTCTCCCTTCCTCCCTCCCTCTCTCCCTCCCTCCCTCCCTCCCTCTCTCTTCCTCCCTCCCTCTCTCCCTCCCTCCCTCCCTCCCTCTCCCTCCCTCCCTCTCTCCCTTCCTCCCTCCCTCCCTCCCTCCCTCTCTCCCTCCCTCCCTCTCTCCCTTCCTCCCTCCCTCTCTCCCTCCCTTCCTCGCAAATCTCTTCCTGGATTTTCTTTCATTGTGTTTGTTTTTTCTGTGTGTAACTTTCAGTAGGCGGCAGTGACTCGTGTGTAACCGCTGTGATTTGGGACTGTTGAAAGGGGGTGTGGTTGGTGTTGGTGGTGTGGTTTTAGCCGGGGGTGGGGTGGGGGGGGAAGAGTGGAAACTGGCTGCAGTTTAGCAGGAAAAACTTATTTCTTCCTGCCCAGTGGATTTTACCCCTCCACACACACACGCAAAAAATCTTCATGGTTGCTACGTGTAAATTGGCTTCTGCACCAGCCTACAAATACGGTCTTTATAAGTGTTCTCTGTGAAACGCTTTGAAATCATCCTGTTGACAGGATGAGGATCTCTATATCACATGCAGGGGTTGTATTCTTTATTATTTATCTTTGCTCAGAAACGAAAGACGCAGAATTGTTTTTTTGATGCAGTAGATGGAAAAGATGCGTGCTTTTCTTGTTTTGTAATCTGCAGCTATCTGATCCCGATCTTGCTTTTGGAAAAGTTCCTGCTTTTGGTTTTGTGGGGGCTGGGGCAGGGAATTTTTTTTAAAAAAAAAGGATGTCAGACATGTTTTAAAGGGAACTATGCCAATTTAAAAGGACTGTTGAGAACAGTTTGTGTGCTTTTTTTTTACTATATTTTCGTAACAAAATATTAACTCAGTTTTTAATTTTAATCTTGATCTGTGATGGCACAGTACTTAGTCCTTGGCTGCTGACCACCTCATTCTGGTAACATTTCAATGTGATTGATGAAATGTACTGATAATTATGAATGATTATCGGTAATTGTGTTTTTCTATCAATATTCTGTAAAATGTCCTGTAACGTCTCATAAAATGATGATGTTGTAGGGTGTCGATCGCTTTTAGTATAATATTGTGCTTCGTTCATAGATGGATTCTCTTTCGAACATCAAGTAGTTGAAATTATTACATTAGCATTTTTTTTAAAATTCCAACCAATTTTATTATCTACTCTTCCTACATCTTTAAACACTGACCATCTTATACAATCTTATGTGGAACTGAATTAGCTCCCACAGTGGCTGCTGAATCATCCCTGTGTTAATGACTACACCTCTAATAATGATTATTCAGCTCCTGCAGTCGGCCTCAGTGCGTCCTTCGGTTTAGGTAGGACTTCTGTGTTGTTTTCTGTTCCCTTTGTTGAAAGGCAACGGTTTAATAGAATAGGAGAGAACTATATTCAGTTCTATTTTACGATTCGTTATGAGTTAGCAAAAGTAACAAGGGGTACAAGGAAAGAAGTGGAAAGAGAGATTGATACAAAATGATAAGTTAAATAAAAGGATAACTTAAAAAGGTGATAGTGGCACGAAATGTTTCCCTTGTGGGTTGAAAATTCCTATTTGTATGTTCAGTCGGTCCTTAAACGCCTCGAAGATGTGATAAGGCGCTATATCAAATGTAAGGGTTATTATTTTTCTGTCATGCATTATTTGCTTAGAAAAACTTGATTTTAGGCTTGCAGTTTTGTATCCACTTGGCTCAATTCAACCATTGAATGCTGATTGATTCCTCCTTACAGATCATTGAACAGAGTAAGGAATCTGTTAATGATAACAAACCCAAATTTGTGTACATAATCAAGGTTTCAAACCATGTCGGTTGATTGTTTTGACAAATAAAGATATAAAGATAAAGCAATCACTGGCATTTCTAAAATTCCTAATACCTATGGATAAGTGCCTTCCAGGTTACTGTGTCCCATTCACAAATCAGCTGTTTGTTCGTCTTCTAAGTGTGTTATAATTAAAACCTGGAGGAAAAAGAATATACTTTAGGTGCATTTTTTTAAAAAAACATAATGATCGTGGGGTTGAGGTATAGTGTGTTTTGTCCCTTATATGTACTCTTGCAGTTAGAAAAGGGCAATAAATACAGATGAAATCTAGGTCCTCTTCATACCTTGCGTCTTATATATTTCAATCTTTCTTCTGTAATATCACACCCATAAGTCTATTACATACAAACAGCCTTCATTTTTCTATGTGATGCTTGTGCTGACACCATCATCTGATGCCAGTATGGTTTTGATAATAACTACTTTGCCAGACAGGGACCACTGCGTTTAGCAGCTGTTCAGTGGACCAAAGAATTCATTCCTAGGCCAAGTGAGCTTGCCTTATTGTGCTCCCATATACAGGAAGAAGCTTCCGGTGGCAGCTTTTTCCAAGTTGTCTGCAAAAAAAACGCATGCTAATTTCTGTTGAGAGAGCAGTAATTGTGGGCAGTTGTCAATACTCTGATCCAGGGATTCTGCTACCTTAATAATAGTTCTTGTCTATGATCGCACACACTGTCTATTTTATATAAATTAGAGCCACTTATGTGGAGGTTACTAACAATTGTGCTAAACAGCTCCCGATTACCTCATTTATTCTGGATTATGAACTTGGTTTTACTTCCTCTTCCAGGCAGTTTCACAAACTAATTATCTTAATGACTTGTCATATTTCTAGTTCTGGCTTGAGTTTGACTTCAGATCAAAGGTTTTGGAAGGAGCAGCTGAACTGCTTTTTTATAAATGTCTTTTTATAACAAAAAATGTTGTGCCAAACTCTAATTTTAAACTTGAATCTCATAAAAATATGTCTGAAGAGAGGTGCAAACCACTCAGCTGTTAAAGCCCTATGAAAGTTACACTAGTCCAGACTTCAGTGAAATAGTTTTGTTGCTTTATGGCATTTTATATATGTGGTAGGAATAAGTCCCCTCTTTCAATTTTTTTTAAACATTAAATTCATCACAGTCATGGATGGGACCTACACAGCTCATTCAGACCTCTCGCATGCGTCAGTTCCACTTAGATGTAGGGTAAATTCCATTTTGCCAGGTCATATTGCATATCATGTTTCATACTCTGTTGTTCTCTATTATATGTAATGGATTTTGTCTGTAGATATCATTCACTTATGATGATTTATAAAACGACTGTCAGAGCTAAGACTTGTAGCATATTGCATTTGATTGGGCTTGAATTTGCATTTATTAATAATAATAATCCTTGCATTTAATACGCATCAATGCGCATTACAAAATACACTGTAAAGTGAAGTGTCTGTATATTTTGTGGGTGGTTGTAATGATCAGTGATTTTAATTTTTAATGATATATTCAGCCTCCCACCTGAGTCTACCAGTCTCTGCCACCTTTACTTCAGTTTTCTCGTTAACTTTAATCAGCAGAGATAATAATAATAGTTCTTTACATTTGGTGTAGCGCCTTTCACATCGGGAGAACGTCTCAAAGCACTTCACTCTGAAAAGGAATAACATACCTATTTTGCAGTATAGACAAAGACCTATTCTGTGAGGTAGGGACCCCAGCTGCATTAGGTCACAAAGGATCAGATGCAGTGAGAAAGCAGAGAAAGAAACAAAAGATTAGAGAATAAGGGATTAAACACTCAGGTACTTGGAACTGTTGAACTAACTCTGTTTGTCACCTCACCAAACCTGGAGAGTAATTTATCTTTGAGTAAGTGATTAGGGGTATTTTTACAGCCATTTTCTCATTTTGTCCTGTGCATACTATCGACAGTCTTTTGAAGCTATGTGAACCCATTGTGCATTTCAACTTCTGTTTTATAGACAAGCCTAACATTAGTGTTATCATTTTAGTCTGTTTGAGATGTAGCTTTCCCTGTTCTTATTTTCTTTATCCAGTATTTGTTTTGCCTTTGTTCGGTGGTTGAAATTGGGAATATCTACAGTGTAGACGTTTATGTGTACAAATTTGTGCTCCAATGTTAGAATTTAGACCGCTGCACTCTCAGAAACATTGATTATAATATTTTGTTATCAATGGCTTAAGAGTATGAAAATATTTAAGTTTTTGTAGTAGGTTTGTTTAACTAGCACATAGTTTGCATGCATTGCTGATTCTACGTTTTGCCCCCGGGGTTTCTGTCAATCATGGAACCCAAACTCTGGGGCTTTTAAGACTTATTTGAATAAACACAAGAAATGTGAAATTGTAACTCCTTGTGATTTTAAAAGACAAATTAGTTGAACCTTCATGCTGTCTGTTCCAGTTGAATGGTCTATTGGTTAATCTATTTTCACAATGCTGACCTTTCTTTTTGAAGGAACGGTATGTTAACCAAATAAATGTGGACTGTACTTTTCATGTAAAGCTTCACAGATATCAAGGTCTTGCTGTTGTGTCCATCAGTTCTTCTAGAATAGGAAAACCTGTTTGGTTCATACTGAAGAGCGTATGCTAATCCAATGCACAAGCTCTTGGGAGTTCTTGAAGTGTTGATTTTGTTTTCAAAAAGTTCTTCAAATTGTGTGTGGAGAGTGAAGAGTCCGTTTGAACAGTGCTTTTTATTTGAATATCTCTGAGGTGATCTGCCTCTTTGCCTGCTTTCTGTGTATCTCTCTTCTTCTGTAACTATTTTTCTTTTTCACTTATTTTACAACAGCTCACTCAATACGAGTGCAGTTTTAAAATGTTTATTTGCCATCCTCAATGCATTCAGTATAATATTGTACTTGCAACTGCAACTTGCACACTGGATTTTACCTTGGGCTGCATATCTTAATTAACTTTTAAGAAATATAATAACTTTTCTATTTGACATAGTGAATTTTAAACAGGTCAAACCACTTCTCAGAATACACTGGAAAATGTATTGACTGCATATTTGTAGGTGAAAATGTAGGCTCTGTACATTTTTCTGCACATATAGCATGAGACTCGATTGCTTGGTTTTGCTATTGACAGGTAGATGTTGTGTGGCGCACCTGTCAAGTCATGCATCAGGTCAATTTAGATAGGAGCACTAAAACTATTTTGTTTTCCAGAGCCAACATGAATTTAGAAAATCTCAGTAAGCCGGAATTGTTGATGTTCTTCAGTGTGCTTGAGGGCGAACTGGAAGCACGAGACGTTGTGATTGAAGCATTACAGGTAGGTGTCACCAGTTTTCTTTTTGACGTGACCTGGCTAAAGATTAGGTGTATTTTTTCTGCTTTTTTTATAGAAAGGGAATCTAGTCTTCCCAATTACATTATGCTATGGACAGACACTAGTGCCAGACGTATTGCTGTTGACTAGTAACTAATGGCCTGTGACTGTTCTAGTTATATCCCAACACACACATTCACCACATTGTACCACCACAAGGAGGTTTGTCGTCTCGAAGGTTCAGTAAAAGCCCTTGTGCAAGTTTGTGTGAGGTGTGGACGATATTTGTAGTTTCTGGCTATGCAAGTTGCAGTCCAAGGTGGTTTAACAATAGTTCCACTAGTACGAATTGGCAAGGTACATTGTGTGAAAGTGGAAATGGTGTGATTACATTCCCTGATTTACATGATAACACTTCAACTGGAGTACTGTATAAAACTCATTGTGGTTTAAATTCCAGCATTCTGTTATGTTTTGAGAGAAAAGATCTTTCAAAGCTGATTGAGGATCTAGTATGAGAGATTCGTAACTTGTGAAGAGATTGCATGCAGCCAGTCGACCTTTTCGGCGTCCCTGTGGCAATGGAAGCTTTCCATGTTGGCTGTTTGAGTACAGGAAGTAATTTTTGAAAGCAGTGCAAAGGCAGGAAAAGTAAGGTAGTGTGACATGAACAGGAGCAGAAATTGGCCCAATAATATTAAGGGGCTTGACCTTTAGTGCACCCGAGTGGTGTACTAAAGGCGAATAATCTTCGTATTATACAAGCAGGCCAGTTAAAAGATTACATTTTATATTTGCGATTAGGTTAGTCTTATTGCCTTCATTTTCCCAGTACCTTGCTGGCAGTCCATCATATTCTTAATTGTAGGCAGCTGTCTATGTGGCCAAAGTATATTTTAAATAGCACCAATGTTAATTAAGTCTACACTGTACAATTTGCACTAATATTGGGGTCTATCATACACTGATTATTAAAAGTAACATTTTGAAACATAGCAGAAAGATAACTTATTTTGGGGATCAGCATATGAAAGATCCCATTATGTGGATTTTGGCTCAGCAAGTTTAGCTGACAATTGAGCAGTAAATTGAGTATAGATGGCTGTTGTTTGATAACCAAATTATTATTAATGTAGCTTTTATAATGTAGAAAACTGAATTTCTTGTTGCTGCTATAACGGCTTTGACGTGTCAGAAACTTCTAAAGCAACTTGACGTCTTTCCCTTTTTAACTTTTTTTTGAGTGTGGAAAAATGTGGCTTTGGTGGATTTGCAGTCTAAATTCTTGCCAGTTCCATAAATATACAAGATGTCATCGTTAGCTGTCTAGTCAGCAATGATTAAATATTTGCCACAAGGAAGGTTGACTCCATTCTGTCTTAGCAATCTTCCCCTCCTCCCACTCTCTTCCCCACCTCAGAAAAGCAACCTCTGCACCAATGTAACCTTTTCAACTTCCTGTATTTGCTCAGCAAGAAGTTAGCAAAAAGTGCTCAATTAAAAGCAAATATATAAAATAGATCTAAATTGCAGGGGTGTAAATGTTAAGCTTTCTTGGATTGAAGCTTCTTCTCTGAATTGGTTTGAAAAGCAATGAGAAAAGTGTGCTTTAATTGCCTGTAATGGCTGACGTCGGGGTCTCCAGTATTTCTCCTCGAATAGAAGCAGCTTCTCGTTTTAAAGAGAGTGCGCTGATAAGTTAGTGCAAGAAATCCGATGCGTGTTTCTGTGTGTATAAGCCATCCAAAGGGTCCTAAAAATATGTGCAAGCTAAACCCAGCATTGTACTGTTGAATGCACAGCACTGAAGAATGAAATATTAACAAGTACTAACTGGTTGTGCATTACTAATAGGGAGGTTTGTTTAGAATTGTAATGCCAGGATAATGCTGGTAGAGATAGTCTAGAGTACTTGATTGTATTGTGTTTAGTAAGTTTTCCGATTTTATGCTGTCAAAAGTTTCATGCATCAGATTGACAGTCCCTGTGGCACTATTTTAAAGAAGAATGGGGAGTTCTCCCAGTGTGTTGTCCAGTCTCATCCATCATCTAAAAAAAAATTCACAAAAAAACAAACGAATAGGTCATTTCATTGTTTGTGGGATATTGCCAGTGTAGATAATAATTAGCTTCTGGATTTCTTACACCAATCAGATGAGAGGAAAGTTCCTTTCATAAAGACTCTCGTCCTGCATCTGTTTGAATAATGGCATGACTGTGCAGTTACTCGCCATTAGTCAAGCAAAGCAACATGTCTAAAAAAATCACTTGCTAGAATACAGCTGCCGAAGGTTTCCTTTTGTGTTCATTCTCCTTCATGTCCCTTTTACACAGTCATTCAGCCTTCCATGTGATTGCATAAAAGCACATTTATATTTAAAGTCTGCACAACATCTGACTGTAAATGTAATAGCTAGCCTCTGTTACATAAAGGTACAGTCTCTCCTTGTGACTGATTCGTTTCTAGTTTATCATCTAAGTAAACATGTTATGATGTAATTGAACAGGCAGAATTTTCAACTGTGAACCTTTCATAATTATAATTTTAAAGGGTTGGCATAATGTTGAAAGACAATAATAATAATCCTTGCATTTAATATAGCATCTTACGATGTCTTTGAGATGTCTCAAAGCGCTTCACAGAATATCCTGTAAAGTGAATTGACTGTATATTATGTGGGCCAAACGGTACTACTTGACAAAAATAACAGGGATGATCCTCCAATTGTAGGTAAATTTACTGACCTTGGAAAGTGAGCGAGCATCTTATTGTCTGTCTGCACGCTCACTATAACATCCCCAATGTAAGCTCTTGGTGCCAAAGTTGGTAAATTTATTGATCGGCAGCTTCTGTTGAGACTGATCTCTACAGGGTATATCGTATCAATTTGCTGACTTTAGAGCTTTATGTTTTGAAGTGAAAAGTCAAGATTTCATTTCAGCACATATTCTACAGTTCTGATAATAGTTTGTTGTCTTTCCTTACTCAAGCAAATCTATTTAATCTTCATAAAATGTTGATGTGATGTTGTAATCTAGGGCAGAATGTGGTGCACTTCTTTAAATTTAGGATTTCTGTAGCTTCTGATGCACACAACTGTTGCACAATCCCATGTTACAAACTTCTATGATTTAACGGCGCATAAAGTTACATAATTCTTAACCATTCATCCCACTCACCAAGTAGAGTCACAGTAAAGCCTCATTGTCTGGATTCAAACAGTGTGCCTTTATCCTTCATTGCAGACAGCTGTCTTTATCTGGATATGATGTGCAGTCATATCCTGAACTGTATTGGTTACAGAGTGTGGGCCACTTCAGTGAAGTGTGAAATGTTTTTGAGAGACTAGATAATGAGGTTTCATCGTTGCAGTTAATGGTGTAAACCGTGAGGTGAGAGCAAGTTAGTTGACTTCAGGCCTACTGTTATGAAATCTCCATGAGTAGGCTTAACTTATTTTCAGCAATAACTTTTGCTTGGTATTGAAGATGCAATAGCCCAGTTATATGAAAGTACAGTATTATCTTGCAGCTAGTAATATGATGATAAAATAATTGAAATGTTTCTTTAAAGACAAATGCTCCTTGCTGAGTCAAAAGGCTTTTATATCAACATTTGAATAAATTTTCATATCCAAGAGACACATTTTTAGAAGTTTCTTCTGCAACTATCTTACACAGGCCAGATACCTCGGGTTCAATTTTATTGCTCAATAGGGGAGATTGTATGACTATCTTAAAATGACCAGTATTTTCATGTGATAATTTGATTAGGTGTCAGCCTCGCTCAGTGCTATCTCAGTGAGATAGTCCTCTCGCCTCTGAGTCAGCAGGGTGTGTGTTCAAACCCCAGGTTGGGACCTTGAGCTCATAGTTTAGGCTGATCCTCTGTTGCAGCGTAGTGCTGGTGGAACATTGAGTTGTCGGAAGTGCCATCTTTCCGATGAGGCATTAAACTGAGGTCCCGTTGGTCTTCCAGTCTCCCGGCAAGCCCTCCCCCCCCCGCCCCGCCCCACTGATTAACAGAAAGAAGGTTCACATTTGTGCGACGTTGCTGTGCACAAATAGACGCTACATTTTGAAAACTCAGTTAAGACTTTTTAACATAAGGCGTTGTATCAAATGCTAAGCTTATTATTTTAACTGCTTTAAATCTTATGGAAAATTATGATTCAGGCCGTTTTTAAACTGTGCTTAGTAACACACAGGTGTGGTGTGCTTGTCTCTTGTTTCCTGATAACAATCACACCCTGTTGTTCAGTGTGTTTGCCAGGTGGGAGAATCGGTTGTTGGTTTACAGGTATGTCATGATCTCATCGCATTTCTTAAAGATCTGGGTAGCTTTTCAAGTTAGGCCGGGTTGCAGATTCTTTCAAAACAGTCCATCTCAATAAAGCATCTGAAACCTGAATCTTCAGAATTGCTAACTGAACATTTAAGTTGTCATAAGATTCCAGTGGTGAAGAGATGAAACAATAACACCATAAGCCATAAAACTTGCAGTGTAGTGAAGAGCCGTTGCCATTTTAAAATGGAAATTAGACATTGTGCAAGTTGTGCTTAGATTCAAGGATATGTCATGGATACAGAATGCATTGAAGGTTGGGGTATACTTAATGTTGACAGTTTCTACTGTTTTCTGAATCTACGTAAAACTTAACTGTTTACAAAAGTGTATAGAAACAGTAGGACTCTGTAGGGGAGAGATCACGAACGGGTTTATCAGCAAGATTGTTTGGAGGGGTGGGGGTGGCAGGTGCTTGAAGAAATGCAAGCACCTCAAACAGCCTGAATGACATTAGCCTCCCTGTTGAATGCCCTTATCATGGGTTAATATCGGGCCACAATGAAGCCGTTGTGTGGCTTCAAACCAGGTGCAACTTTCTTTTTCTGCATTCTAAATCTAGCAAAAAGGCAACTGAATGAATTTTCGAGGCTTTGTCGTCCAGTCCAAAGGATATAGTAGTTGAGTCATGATAAACACATGACTGGTTTACCAAGAA